ATTGTTTATTTTTGAGCTAAGTCAAACAGATTTCTAATTGGACAATAGGTTAGCACACTGGGTATTGTTGCTGGAATATTAGCTGGACTACTAGCTAGTTACTGAATGGTGTGGCTTGATTTGATTAATGGATTACAAAGAAGTTGTGTGTACTGTGACTATTTTTACCTGTATTTTTTCCCAGCTAGTTTGCCAAAAACTAGGCAAATTGGCTTGGCTAGTTCTAGCTAGCTATGTACTAGTTGAAGCCTCAATTTTTGCCTAGAAGGGGCATTTCGTTCACTGAATGACTGACTGACTGACTGAGTCCCGCTGTTAAAACACGCATGCGCGAAGAGTCTAACTAGCCGAATTTCAATCTTGGTACCCTTAGCTAGCAAGCAGTGAGCAATACCAGGGACATTCTGTGATACACATGCATCCGCTGACACTTATTTAACAAATGCTATGCAGCAGAAGGCGGTCCGGAAAACTCGGCTTGCCTAGTTGCCTTGTTTTTGGCTACAAGCTTTAGAAAACAGCCTTTTTCACAGCAAGATATAATGACTGGATTGAAAACAGTTAAATGTACAATGCATTTAAACGTTATTAAAGAGTTTTTCAAGCAGCTAGAAGTGAGTAAACAAGCTAATCTTGCATGTTTGCTGATCGGCTATGGCCAATTGCCCAATATATATAATACACAAATTACATGAATTATATAGATTCTTAAATTACGAACTATGTACTTTGTATTACATTTTGATAAATGAAAAAAACAGAAGGTACTGGAAATTGGACTGTGGGTTTGTCCGTATCAATGTATGCTTAGCAAATGCAATACTATGCTACCTCCACTGGCAGGAAGACAACTGATTTCATTTACACCTTCTTTTTATGAACCAAACGGACAATTTCTTCAAGTCTAACTGCATCTGTGCTTTGGGACGGCTTTTGTAGTACTGCACTACACTACATAGTTCTCAGATCAGGTTTGTTCATAATACTAAACTAATGTGACTCCTTCATCCATTGCTCGCTCGCTCTCTCTCTCTCTCTCTCTCTCTCTGGCTCGATTTCTAATTGTTCCACTAATCACGCTCCAACTCCTCCTTCCAGCCTTCTTTTCCTTTCTCTCTTGGTGTTTAGAGAAAAAACATGCATACATGACAAACTTCAATAATTTAATTTGGGTTTCCAGAGAAATACGCAGTGAGAAGACAGACAGACTCTACAGATGAGCCTTTAAAGATGAGCTTTTGTCAAAGTCTAATCAGCATTATCCCCCCCCCCCCAACCACACACACTCCCTCTCTCTCTCTCTCTCTCTCTCTCTCGTTCACTCGCTCTCTAAATTTCTATTTTAATTACAGCATGCTTTGTGGGAATGACAAGGAATAATATTGTTAAAACTTGATTTGCCATAGTATGTAAGTGCTTAGGGGAATGTAATAAAGTATGAAATTTTAATGAAAATACGAAAAACTTGAAATGAAACTTATTTGAAACTTGAAACTTAAAACTAGCCACTGCAATACGAACAGTATGAAGAAAATATAAATAAATAAATGGTGTAGTAGTAGCTGTCTAGCTATGTTTCCATGCATGCATGTGAATTACTATGTAAGAACACTGGACCAATCACATTTGAGATTAGAGGATGACTTGTGAACTGGATAGTTTTATTGAGACTCAGACACTCGGCTCTTCCTGTGACAGATGCGAGCTAGTTTACTAGCTACTCGCTAGCTATTTATGATGGCAGGAAGACTTTGAACCCTCTCTGTTGTAACTACGGCTGTTTCTAACTATAAGCGGTATTAGCAGTTGCTTAGGGCCCGTGCCACCAGGGGGCATCATAAGAATGCAAGAATTTTATTTTTAATATTGTAATAATATCGTTTGCGACTGTGAGCTACACAGGACCATTAGCTACATTCACGCTAGCAAGCAACAAAGTGACAGGTGACCTTTTTCTATGTATTTCCATGACATGGAGCTGCGATTTCAGCGACAGCACCAGGTCACAGCACAAGAGACATCTGAAATGTGATTTTCACATTTCCATGCAAATTAAATATGATGGTGTAAAGCAACAATTCCAAACATATGGCTTGAACGATTCCTCGGACCAATCCTACGGCATGTGTGGTCCGGCTTTTCTTCAGTTCCCCATTTAGTTTCCATTTACTGTTGGACCCTTAAAAACGGAAGAAAAACTTATAACAACTTATCCTGTTATGTACAACCTCTCATTAAATGTGTACGGAGACATTACGTAAAAAAATACAGCTTGGGAGGAAGTAGCAGAGATCGTGGGTGCTTCTTGCTTCTTGCCTCTGAGTTTATATAGCTAGTACAGTTAGCATGTTTTGCTAATCTAATCTGCCAACGAAGCTAGTAACATGTAAACATGTAAAGACAAATGTTCACACTGGTTAGTACATTATTTAAAGTGTTTCACTACTTAGCTTCATATACACTGTAGGTACTACCATTTGTCATTGGAACCAAAAAAAAAAAAAAAAAGCTACAAAACACAAATGACATCTTTTTTCTGTCTCATTTTCCCCATCACTCTTACTGATTGGCTCCTGCGGTTTCACCTTCCAAATATGGAGTCTCTACACTCATCCTGTTTGCACACCTTCACCATAAATACCTCAGATCCCAGCTTCCCTCCATTATCCCCCCAGTCTCCTACTCTTACTCTCTCTTCCTCTCCCAAACGAGCTACTAATCACACCGAAGGCACTGCATGTCCACGTTCGTTGTGAATGAGCCGCTTGTGTGTGTGTGTGTGTGTGTGTGAGAGAGAGAGAGATTGAGATTGAGAATGATGAATGATTAAGATGAGGGTACTGCAGAATTCAGCGTGTGTGTGCTTCCAGAAATCAATGGCTACTCCGTGATACATGCAGCGAACAAGTGGACGATTCTAGAGTCTCAGCACAAACCGGTGCTCCATACATGCACACACACTTCCACGCACACACACTTCCACATGATCCACTGTACCAATTCAGCATGATTTTAATCCAATTTTAATTTTATTATCTAGGCTGTTTCTTAAACACTGATTAACAGATAAGGCCAGAACCCAATATAATATAAATCCAGTCCAATGCATTATTCAGTCCTCTATGTAATTAATATCAACAACAAATCTGTCTATTGAAGTGCGTCAATACTGCATCATATCTCATGCATCATATATCCTTCATCATCACGATTTATCGATGACCAGCTCGAGCGCGTCAAAACAGCGCGTCATCATCGGTCGCCATGGTAACCCCCCAAACCGCATGTCTAAGCTACTACCGCACTGCCATGACGTAGACCTACTACGTGCGGTGTGCGATATTAAACATTAATGCATATGCGATAGAGGAGACAGTTAACCGCCACAGACACGCGCGTGAACCGCGCGCAGCCACGCCCACTTTCTCATTCCACAACCGCGTCACGAGCGTGACCAGCGGCCGCAGTAGTACGTTACAGCTCAGCGCCCGCGTGCGGATTCCCGGTTGCCAGATTGGGAATTTTCCTATCACATTTTTAGCTAGTACAGCTGGAGGATGTGACAAAAAAAAACAACAATATTATATCTGAAGAAATCCTCGTCATACACTCTCCAAAACTGTGTTAAGACACACATTTTGTTTTTAGGACTATCCATATTTTAACACAATAACATATTTTGTGTCATATTGTGTTAACCCTTGTGTTATGTCCCATTGGCCCACATCATCACAGTATTTTTTTTTTTAAATCCAATATATCCATTCAGTGTGTATAATAAATACTAAACGATAGCAAAGGAATGGGATGTAGCCATTAATACCCTGTTTATGTAACCTTGTATGTATTATGTATTTTTAATGCTGAATGTTTAGCAGTGGTAAAATGTAAAATGGGTTATGTAATATCATCATGTGTCTGCTATTAATCATCTGCTTTTTGATTTTGTGCATGAGTCGAAATTAAACGAGTCTCGTGCTCGGATCGTAAACTAGTCTTCGCTATAGACTAGATTATAATTAAACACATATTTGTTTTTAAAATCTGCCAAACTGCCCACATTTAATGCAAAGTAACATGCAAAGTAGTCATCTTAAAAGTAACACAAAATGTCCTTAACTGGACATTCAAGTATGTTAGCAACTACAAGGCAGGGTAGGGCCATAATATGAACAACAACATGTTATACATTTATGAAATGGTATCTATCGAAGAAGAGGAGGTGTAGAAGTGTAAAAAAAAAAAAAAAAGGTTTTTGATGTCCAATCAGTTGTACACACTTAGTAACAGGTTCGATCTGGAGTTCTGGTTACTGTCAGTGTGGCTTTTCACAAGTTCTCCCCATGACTATCTGGGTTTCTTCAGGGTTCTTTGGTTTCCTTCTACCTCCCAAAGTATGTCTGTAGGTTAACCGGCTATGCTACATTTTCTCTAGGTCTGAATAAGTGTGTGATGGTGCTCTGCGATGGACTGTCTTCCCATCCAGGGTGTATTCCCGGGTTATCCGCAGTGTTCCTGATCCATCGCAACCCTGGCCTGCATGATTTGATCTTAAGGCCTATTGTTGTACCTTTAATTAACTTTAATAGTAAGGGTGCAAATATACTTCACTTTCACCATGTGTATGTGCGTGCACGCAGCTGCTATGCAAGCAGCATTGTTCACATACTTGCATATCTAATGTATATCTTGGGGATTAAAAGCGGCGTCCACCAGATGGCATGTCAGAGCCAAAACATCGCTGTCCATCAGTCAAAATGTTTAGCGATTTCATGCACGGCAACGTTAAACATACTGATGAGCTCCTTTTCTCTTTAAACCTTTCTGCCGTTGACGTGATTGTTGTCATGATCTGCTTCTCAAATCACAAACCCTCAAAAGTATTTACTAAGCTAGAAAATCCAGAAGACTGGTACTCAAAGCCTGGTACTGGTACTCAAAGCCTGGTACTGGTACTCAAAGACTGGTACCGGTACTCGAAGACTAGTACCTGAAGACTGGGCAGTGGTAGCTCAGTGGTTGAGGGGTTGGACTACTGATCGGAAGGTCGTGAGTTCAAGTCCTGGCACTGCCACTACTGGGCCCTTGAGCAACGTCCTTAACTCTCAACTGCTCAGTTGTATAAAAAAATGACATAAATGTAAGTCTCTCTGGATAAGGCCGTCTGCCAAATGCCATAAATGTAAATGTCAAAGCAGACCTTTCAGTAGAGTTAGGACATTTTTAAAGTTCAAACACCAACTGTAATAGGAAAATCATTAGTGTTAGTATTCAGTAATGGTCTAGAATAGTACACGAGTATGCGATGTTTTGAGACATGACGTTAGTTTGTTTAGTCAGTCGGGGACACAGTGTCACATGGTGCTATACTGACTCCACTGTTTACGTTGTTGTTGCACCACGTAGACATGTCGCGTCAATTTCTGAGGACGCACACAAGTGACACACCAGATGACCAGAGGATACACATGGCAGCCATCTTGCGTACGTATACGTGTAGTTACCAGCAAGTATAAATCAGTCTTAATATGTTAATGTTAAACTGTATTCATCTTTCCAGTTAGAAGATACAGAGTACAGGTATAAAAGATGTATTGTTGACAAGGAAAGGTAAAGGTTAGTACCCTGTTTTATATCAACATATTCTCCCGTTTATTAGAAAAAAACAGATTTAATTTCATTGATTAGTGCTTTCGTAATTTGTTGATTATATACGTCTAGGCCATTTGTCTGGTTTAAGCATTCACAGTAATGAACTGGATGATGACATTTTGGAGAGGGTTGAAACGGTGTCTCCAATCTGGCAACCCTGACTCCTGATACGCGCGTTTCACGCAGGCGAGACGGCGCGCGAGCAGAACATGGCGGAACGCCGACGAAACGCCCATTCAGCTTCTGTATCCTCGACAGGTCCAAACGCAAAATAAACGTGAAACGTCTTTCTGACGGTTTTATCTGCCGCACAGAGGCTGAAAACGCGTGCAGCGCGCGCTGCACATAACTGGCGGAGACGTGTCACGCGTCTCACGCATTTCCCTTCGAATAAATAACACCAGACCGGCGAGAGAGGCTCGCTGTGTTTACTCTGCTCCCTACTCTACTTACCGACAACCGCTGGCGGGGTTTTGAGGCGGAATAGAATCCGCGGGAAAGATCAGCTGACTTTTTTTCAGTGAGAGGAAAAAAAAAAAAAAAGAAAAAAGAAAAAAAAAAAACACTCACGGGGCCGTCACGACAGAAAGGGCTCGCGCGTGGTGTTTACGCAGCAGCCGCGCGCATCCACGTGAGCCACGGACACAATTATAGCTAAATGAGAGAAAACAAAAACAAAACAAAACAAAAAAATCAAAAACAACAATGTGTGTAGAGTCAATTCCTCCGAGGCGGCTCGTGTTTCTGACCCGCAACTCCCCGCATCCGCGCGCGCGCGCGCACGGATGTTTGTAAGCGTATATTCAGACACCAATCGATACCACAGCCGCTCGAATTTCACCACAACGAGCATCGCGACCATTAAACAACGTCCCGTGGCTGTGTTTCACTCCCTGCTGAAAATCAAAACCCATTAATGAAATGATGCGCGGAAATAAAACGCGCTCACACACTTTAATGCAGAGGCCAAAATTCACAACAAATGCACACACCAACACCGACACCAGCACCGACACCGGCTTCTTAAAGGATGAGGGAGAACATAATAATAATAATAATAATAATAATAATAATAATAATAATAATAATAATAACAGGCTATGGTTAAAACAGGAGACGTCTCGGTGTCTGTGGGTCGGCGGCGTTTTGTAAACAACAGTCATGTTCAGCAAAAAAAAAAAAATGAGCTCTGCACTTCACTGCGTAGAAAAAAAACACAGCGTAAGAAAAAAAAAAGCCCAGAAAAACATCAGCGTGTTAAATGTATGCGGTGAATATGTGAAGGTCTCGTGACGTACCGGCGGCGTTTCCGTGCGCAGATTTTCACAGCGATGATGCAGAAGACGAAGAAGAAGAAGAAGCGAAAAACGAGAGAATTTGCATGGACATGAATTTTAATGTCGCAATTCTTCCTTAAGGAGCTCGCAGAGGAGAACCCAACTCCTTCCCGTCACTCGCTCTGTATCATTATTTTATTATTATCGTTATAATAACACTTTTTTTTTTTTTTTTTTTAAATAGCATTCCGCTCCGCCATGCTAAACAGGTACACCGCTGTTGTTTGCGCTCACCTCGTGCACGAGCCCGCCCTCGTCTCCTCCATCCTCGCCGGTCTCCGTCCGTCCGCTGACTGACTCGTCGCGCCGATGTGACAGGTTTCCTCCGCGATCAGCCGGTCAGCAGCGCGAGGCGTCGGGAGGAAGCGCGCGCGCGCGCGCCGAAACCCCAACCCCTGATGACGCGCACGCGCGCAAACACACACACATATACACACACACACACACACACTGAACGTGTCTGGACACCCCGCGATATCAAACGGACTATCTTTATTTCCTGATCACACACACACACACGCACGCGCGCACTTTCTCTCAGTCTCATACACACTCGGAGGACATGTCTAGACACCCTGCGATGTCAGACAGTCTATTTTTATTTTCTCGTCAGGGGCGCACATATACACACGCACACACACACGCACACACGCACACATGCACGCACATACCTTAATTGAACCCCCGTTCATGTAACGGAATCGTAAATGTTGCTTATTAGTGCTTTTAAGCATTACGTATACTTCAAACATTTGGTGTAATTAAACGTGATAAATCATTTTTCATAAATCTGACTCATGTTTATTTGAAAATATATGACTTATCTATGTGTCTAGATGCTGTACACCTGAATCATCAGGTGCAACCTGATTTAAAAGTGCAGTCAATCACAGCACAGGATGGTTATGCCACATATGGTGGAGTTAAGACACATCAGGGTCAGTAATGAAATCCAGATTTAAAAAAAAAAATATATATATTTTTTTGCATGGTGGCACAGCACGGTAGCCTTGCCGTCTCACGGCTCCAGAGTCCCTGATTCGATCCTGAGCTTGGGTTCCTGTCCGTGTGGCGTCTCTGTGTATGTCCTACATGTGTCTGTGTGGGTTTTGCTCCTGGTTCTCTGGTGTTCTCCCACTTCCCAGAAACATGCCAGTAGATCGACTGGCTACACTGCCGATGTACTGGTGTCCCATCCATGGTGTATTCCTGCCTCGCACCCTCCCAGCAAACATGAGACGTCTGCCAGACGTGTAGATCGTGTCTATATTGCGTTGGTCGGTCCAGGACCATATCTGTATGTCTGCACGATGTGCAAATAAGGTTCAGTGTCTGGACGTCTGACTACAACCCCTCTTGGATGTAGATATGCAGTTCAATATTTAAAAGCCTAGCTAGGAGTTTTTTTTGGATGTCTGTGGAGATGCGAGACAGGTGCAGGAAATCATCATATGAACTGTCAATTCAGTTCAAAAGTCGTCACTGTTAGTTGTGGTGTGTGGTTGCCTGTTGTAGCATAATGTTCATATTGTTGTTATTGTGTACAAATATTTGGACAAATTGTTTGATGCTTTGGACATTCAGAAGACATCGTAAAAGGACGTCGTTAAAAACTTTCATTCTGGCTCCTCAGGGGACATCTTTTCAACGTGCGACAAGACGTCCAAAAGACGTCTTTTGGACATATCTTTGCTCAGTGGCCTCTCTCTGCAACCTTGACCTGGCTGAAGAGGGATATTAATAAAAAACTCAGAACCTACACATCCACCCCCATTCCCTGGTCTTACAGGGTCTATATTTGCATATTAGAACATGATTGGCTCTCACACTTTATGATGCAATAACACGCACCTGTCACACGATTTTCACATGAGATTTGCTTTTTAACTTTAAATGAACTTTGCTTCTATGAGTGTAAACACTAATACATATTTAACACTCATACGTTTTACCCCAAAATCATTTAATCATTTAAGGACATGTTTTATGAAGTGAAGGTCACTTTACAAGTTTTTACACCTGTTGGAATCTCTACCAAATCTGACCTAAAAGCATTAAACCACTGTATATAAAGCTTGAGGAGAATTTCAATTTTGGGCTGAAAGTTGATCTACTGTACGCTCTGGGACATTTCAGGATATGAGGTCTGCTCGATATTTGATTTGTGGCTGCGTTCTGGCTGAGTTTATTGCCGCCATTACTTGGTGGTGTGTGGTTCAAATGAAACGGGAAGATGTGGGCCAGTACTAGGGCTTTAGTCATTTGCTTTGTGGGAAAGCTAAAACAATTTGTGGGAGCGTCATCAGTGGGGGTACCTCACAGGTTTAGCAAAAAAAAAAAAAAAAAATTGATCCAACACAAAAAAAAAATATAAAAAATTTGCATTGAAGACTGCAAAATCCCAAGTTACCACTTAAGTTGTATTTCAGTAACAATATCATGTTTTGCAGAATCACTGGAGCTAAAATTAGCTAACCATTTAAAAAATCGGTTGACTGACTTTAGCTAGCCAGAGCATCTTGTTCAGTCTGCTCTTGATTGATTTTTTTTTACATGTGATCTTTACATGAGTCATTAATTTTCATGTTTTTACACAATACATTTTTCACATGATTTTTTTACATAATTTATTTATTTCCACATGTGATGTTTACGCATGATTAATTTATTTTCACATGTGATTTTTTACACAATTAGTTCTTTTCAAATGTGATGTTTACACTATTCACTTACTTTCACGCATGATGTTTACACAATTCATCTATTTTCACAGGTAATTTTACATGATTCATTCATTTTCACTTGGGATTTGTACACAGTTCTATTTCATGTTATTTTTACGTGATTCATTTAATTTCTCATGTGATCTGTAGGACATGTGATTTTACTTTTCATGTGTGATTTCTCACACTATTAATTTCATTTTCACATGTAGGGCATGTGGCTTTGTTTTTCATATATATATATATAATTTTTTTACGTGTGATCATAATCTACATAATCACATGGAAATTTTATGATCACATGTAAAATGTATGTGATTTTTCTCTACACCTACCTCTGGTGGGGTCTCTTTTTGGATGCC